TGGTTATACTGTGTCAGCACGATGTCAGACTCGGAATTTCACTAAATTGCTGTTCTCGGTCTTCTGTCCGTTTATGGCCATAGGGATTTGCTTAACCTTAAATTCTACCTTGCGTTGGAGCGCTTTCGATGTGAGAGAACATGTTCGGCAAATTGATCTCGGGCGTATTTCAATCCTTACCGTAAATATTGAACTTTATCTTTGTTCTCGAAAAATCGAAACATGTTTCGAAGTGACTTTCTGTAATCGATGTGTATCGCCAATTCTCTATACGTTCGCTGTTAAGGGATACTGTAACCGACTTTCCATTCATATTATTTTATAAAGAAAAACGATAAAATACGAAATTGAATTATATTAATTAAAAATACTAGTTTGTAAATCGTGCCTTATTATGTCTGTTTTATTATACGAGTGTATTAATTAATCGATAACCAATTACGATGGTTACCGATGACCGTCCTGACGTGAACGTATCGAGGTTTAACTTTATCCTTTGATTAACATCCTTTTTCTCTTCTTAAAGCCCGGTTTTTCATTTGCAATTTCATTAACTGTTAACCAGCAAATGAAAAACCGGGCCTTAGGGCTCATTAGAAAAAGATAAAGGACGTTAACCAAAGGCTAAAAGGTTATTCGACGATTGGGACAATCGATCTTGAGTAATGTCTTATTCTTATATATATTTTTTATATTTAAGTTGATTAGAAACCTTTAATATTAAAGACCTCTCAGTTTAAAGCTACTTACATTATTGACATAAAGTGCAACACAACAATGAGGCCTTGAGTAACAAAATAGAAATACGTTATGTATTGATATTACATTTTAATACTTTTGCAGACGGGCCACAAGCGAGCTTTCAACAGCGACTACGGTATGGAGCCCGTGGAGCTTAACATTTGTCAGAAATAGGGTGAGATATCACTTCCCTCGTCCCAGCGAAACGAAACGCATAAAAAAGCACGGCTGGTTGACGAGATTGTCGACGCCGAATGGCAGAAGAATTCTCCAGAGAAGAATCTTAAAAGGCAAGCACGTGCTGTCTCACTGACCATTGTCGTGTCAGCCATCTGGTCAATTACAATGTATGAAGATATGTGATAAGAAATATAAATGTTATCGATTTAATTTAAACCCTTTTTATCACACTTACAATATTTAGCAAGAAACTCATGCAAGTTAATTGCTCTCATATGTATTACACGTAAGCTAACTTCTCCTCGTTATTCTCCGCAGCTGCATTCCTCTCTTCACCCGGTAGCTTGAACATGAGCTGCCTGCAGGTCCAGTCGAACGCGCCTGCCAAGGGCGCCTCTATTATTATATCTTCTTTCTCTTTGCCATAGATTAGGTGCACACTTCTCAGATGCATGTGTGTCGGAATTATTTCTTGCTGCTTCGGTGTCACGTCTAGCAGATCCAGCAGTTGTCGATTTAACTTCGGCATATCAGAACAGGAGTCGGCGAATGGATCGACCTTCATCCACGTACCCATGACGTGCTGGACTCGCGATCCGTGAACGTTGTCCCCGAGAATCGGGCTGTACAGCATGGTGGAGGCGAACAACCTGATGCCATTCCACTTTCTCGCGGACGATTCGATTTCTATTAGGGAGCTCAAATTGTGTGTCGAATTGGACAAGACTTTATGAGATATGTTCATTATCTTGACCTCGTTTCTCTTCACCTTGTTGTTAGCCCACTGAGTCATGATAATAGGCTGAAATGCACACGTGATTGTTATAGGCTTTACACAATGCCAGACAACAAGCAATAGGAATAGGGAATAGAATTTTTGACGCGTTGGATTCGTCGGAAATTTTCTTTCAACTAATCCAACGCGGCAGAAATTCTATTCCCTATTCCTATTGCCTGTTGCCTGGCATTGTGTGATAGGCTTTACTCCCGTGAACGTCAATTACTCTCTACACGGAGAACACAAAGGGAGACGCACCTTTTTGTCTCCTAGTGCAGACGTTTTCAAAGTCATCCCTAGATGATACTGTCCTTTGATCTCGTTTGGAACTCTGGTCGTGACCACCCACAATTTCTTAGATCTGCCTTGACTTCGTTGCCTCGCCTGTTCTATCTGCTTGCACACTTTATCGTCAGTTCCAAAAACGTATGTGCCACTCATGTATCTGGAAAAAAAGGTAATTTATAAATAAACGGGAGGGGTTTTTTTTAGGGAAAGAAGGCATATGGAAGAACAGCATACTTTTCTGATCCCAGGCACGGTATTAAGATTGGTACGTCTAATTCCTTCGCAAGATACGGAAAAGCATCTTGTACAGAATAATTTACCTCTCCTACAATCTTATGAAGTTGCTGTCTCTGCGGCAGTTGTACCTTTGTAGTCTCGAGGTTGTTTGCTAGCAGAGATATGCCATATGGTTTGTTTATTGCAATTATTCCATCTGTAAGAAGATATTTCGAGATTAATAAAACTCTATCACTTTTATCAGCTATATACAATAAATCTATAAGGATATTTGACTTCTAATAAATAAACTCGAAAACTTCTTATCATAAATAATGACATTTTTGTACATGCGTTAAAAAATAGCCAATTCTGATGATAAAAGAAAAGCGTTGCGCACTAAAATAATCTGTGCAAGTGAATAGCTGGCTTATCCTGGTTTTTACCAACGCCGTTTGATTTTGGTCTTGGTCAAGTTCATCCTTCTTCTAAGGAAACAATTAAACTTGAGACAAAGACTGTTCAATTTCACAAAACGAACTAATAAATTCGTCAATCGCATAACCATGAAAACAGCTATGTTTTTCCTGTTGAAGACGCAAGTGTTTCGATCCCGACTGCAGAACGATCTCTCTTTCGTTGTAAATAACATTCTTCAGCAAATCTTTCGCAGCTCGTCCGGCGATTTAAGATCAAAGTTAATCAACGTTGATAAAGACCAGGGGCAATACTTTTTCTAAATTATAATATCAACGACCATCGCAAAAAAACATTATTTAACAGTCAACGGTCGTGAAATTAAAAGACAAAGGGCTGTTTTCTGAATCCCCTTTTATCGAGCGCCTCTAAAAGTGGCTTGTAACCAATCAGAAGGCTGTATTGATAAAAGAGGGTTCAGAATACGAGCCAAAGACTGTTAAGGCCAATGTCCACGATGCTAGAACTTGG